TTCATTTGTTTGACATTTTTGGATCCTAAAAATATATGAAAAGTTGGGAAGTTTGGGGTTTTCACTGTTTTTTACATCATAAAGTAATTTTAAGGATGCAAAATGCCCCAAGTCATGTTTTTTGTAGGAAATCTTTCCACATACACAGACTCCAGAAAAGGACTTTTGTAAGTGGGGCACAATTGGAAAATACTCTATTTTTCTTTCCTCACTCCCTCAGAGATTACTGCAAGGAGCTTCGGATGTTGTGAGACTATATTGGTATGATACCATAAAGTGTTTTACAGACTTCAGAGTAAAAATAAATAAAGATACCACATCACATGTAGACCTGAGATGTGTAAGAAAAAACAGAATCCACACTAATCACTGAAAACATATCCTTTGAGGGGTTTCAAAGCACAGAAATATGTTTATTCTGTAGAAAAACAAGAAACATTCTTCCTTTTTAATTCCCTCCTGTGGACATTATCATAAGAAACAACTTGTTCCACCAATACTACCATACCCTGTAATTTAAGCTTAACAAACTGTCAGCAATCCATGCAATAATTATTGCAGTAAGGAGAAAGCTGCACTATGTTTAAAAAGAAAATAAAGTCAAAACTCAACCACTAGGGTATGTTTTTCATTCCTTAGATTTTGTCAGTTTACATTGTCCCAAAGCACTGAAAATATCTGACTCTTGTATAACAAGGTATATTAAAAGTGACTGACATTTAATCTGTCAAGATCACTGTCTTGTAATGGCACAGCAGATGGCTGGGCAATATAACATCTCATAAAAATGATTTCTAATCAATCTATATACATGTGTTGTTCACTTCACCCACTCAACTAAATAAAGTTCAACAGCAGAGTGAAACATGGAATTTTTAGCTTTTTCTGAGCTTTTAGCCCAACAATAATATGCACATTAAGAATAAAACCTACATCCACAGCAGTATTTTGATTTTATATAAAATATTTTGCATCCTGTTTAATTGCAAGGGCTCATAAAAATGCATTTTTGTCTTTCACCTGAGGAATTCTTCCATTGGCTATAGTTGCTCTCAACACTTTCCTATTTTTACCTATAAAAAAACCAGTGGTTTGGGTACATTTGTTTTTTGAATGTGCCACTCCACATTTCCACAGTTTAATTACTATGAAGTATCTGGAACCTCAAATCAGATAACTGATGAGTCGAGGAAGCCAAAGTCTACTCTGTTTTGCCAGTTACACCTTCAGGAGCTTTATCTTCCTCAGATTTTTTACGTGACACCTTTGGCTGAAGTTTGTATTCCTTGTATAGCACTGATTGCCATTTGAATTCTGCCTTCTCAGCAAGGCTGTCTGGGTGTGACTGGGGTTGTTGCTTACGTTCTATGTTTTTTATACACTGTGGCTGAGGATTGTGAAATAATAGTTGTGTAGATACCTCATTTCTGTGTGCATTTGTGTACACTTGCCATCTAAAAGAACAGTTGTTTTTTTTAATTCTGTTCCTCCAATTTTTTGAGTGTGTATTCTGAATACATATATACATTACTCTTTTCACCTGGCAACCAGTATGTCTAAAAACATTATTTCAGACTTCATTTTCTTCTTATCTAATTCACTTCATAGACGTTTTTGATGTTCCCAACCTACATTTGCCATTTTTCAAGATGAAATGTGCTTCTTAAATGAAAATCCTCTAACTTCATACACAGGAATAGCTGGGAAATACAGAAGCTGTCTGTATTTGAATTCTAGGACTTTAAGCATGTCAGATTAATCTGCTGCTGGCTTCATTTTCCTTTTCAAGCTCATGGATTTGTTTCCTAAATACTACTGTTGTACTTCATTGGCTTCTTACAGTAGTTATTTTCTCAGTTTGATTTTAGCAAATTGAGATGGATATCAAAGTGTTGCCTTTGTAATACACTGGACAGCCTCTTGCTTGAAGATTAGAAACCTTCTGAGACCTGGGTTTTATTTCTGTGCTGTAGTTCTACTGCTGCTGCACAGAGAGCACCAGCATTAGTCCTCTGCCAGCCTGGTGTGAAGCAGGAATACAAACTTGTGGGTGTTACTCACTGGGTAACATTTTGTAAAGCTCAAAGTGTGAGCTACAGTGGAACTTAGGTGGATACTAAAAGGGAATATTTATGCATTTATATTCGTGTAATTATGAAAGAAACTGATGGATTGACAACCATAAAAAATGAAAATTAATTGTGTATTAGTTAAGGAAATAAAAATAGAAGTTTATATGTTCATATTAAGGCTTAGTGGTTGAAGAGACAAAGATATACCTTAACGTTGTGTTAGTGTGGATTCCAGCTGAATGAGATTGCCTGAGGTTAGAGGATAATCACCTTACTCTCCATACATAACTGGATAAGAGATATAGGCTGCTGTTGGGACTAATGCAGGCCTTAGATAACCTTAACTGACTTCTGAAGAAGGGCAAGTGACTCAATTTTTTTATGGAGAACTATTGTGACTCTATACTTGCTTATATGACTCAATGGTTAGTGAGAGAAATACAAGCTCTTACTGATGCTATATCCCACCTTGCCTGGAGTATGGGTTCTGGCAGGAGCTTTTAAATATCTTCTTCTCCTCTTGTCTTCCTCCCTTTTTTATGTTGTGTATTCCACTTCTGTTTGACCCATCTAAGGTTGCAGAGCTGTAGTATAATTCAAGCTGAGAGGGATCTCAGGAGGATTCTAGTCCAGCTCCTTGCTTCAGTCAGTGTAAACTGTAAAGTCAAATGTGTTACCCTGAACTTCATCTGTTCAGGTCTTGAAACCCTCCAATGATGCAGATTACACAATATATCTGGGCAGCCTCTTCCGCTGCTTGGCTGAAAATCAGAACTATACCTGATTTGGTTTATTACCATTTTCTCTTTAATTTATTTCTTCAATTTTTTTATTTTTATATTTTATTGCCCTGCAACTCCACAAAGATCTTCACTCCCTCATTTTGAAATCTCCTTTCAGGTATTGGAAAGGTACTTCTAGACACCTTCAAAACCTCCTTTTTTCAGCCTGACCAAGCCCAGCTTCTCCAGCCTCTTATAGGGTGCATTCTCCAGCCCTAGTGATCTTGGTGGACTCCCACCTGACTCACTCAAAGTTTGCTGATGTCTTTTTTGTACTGCAATAGACATGTTAATCATAACTGGACATAGTAGTCCAGATATGCTCTAAAAATTTCTGGGTAAAAGAAAATATGAGCTCCTTGTGATGTTGAAAAACATTACGATTCAGAATCTAGGAAGTGCATGAAAAAAACCTGGAGCCTATTTAGTGTATACTAAATCAAAAGAGAATGCACTCTCATCTGTGTCAGAGCTCCCTGGCAAGCTCTGTCAGCCTTGTCTGAAAAAGCCTTTCTTTAGAAGAGTAAGCACATATTCTTTCTTGTTTTTCTTTCATTCCACCAAGATACATAATACATGCGAAAATAAAAAAAAAAATTGAATTGCCAATAAGGTGCAATGTGAAGAACAAAGGAAAGATTAATAAAATTAAAAGGCAGATGAATTGAAACAGTAAAAAAAGATCTCAGTGACTGACACACTACAGAAAGCATTGACTCAAAATTTCTGATTCAAGGGATAATAGTATTTGACAACTTGAATGAATAACAACAATATATAAACTTTTTATAATTCAGATAATGTTCAAATGTGGATTTACAGACATCTCAGGCACAAGGAAGAAAGCAAGTTCCTTCCTTCTGTTAGAGAGATTTCTTGTAGACTTGCAACTGGGGAGTTGCAAAGTTGCAAAGTTGCAAAGTCTAAACAGCATTGTGGAGTTTTACATCAGGCTGGAGACCTCACTGCCAGAGAGGGTGTGTTGTATTATGTAATGGCTCTGGCTGGAGGGACAAGAACCAGTTTGCTGAACACAGGGATGGTGATAAATATTTGGTATCAAATAAACCCTGTAGGGTTATGTGCTCTCAGTTAAGTTCTATCCAGGTCCCCTTTCTTGTTCCTTCCACATGCTTGCTGGCTTTGGGTTAGCCTAAACGTGTTCTGCTGCTTCTCTTGTATCTCCTATGGAAGTCTATGTCTTCTGGTGAGCAAAGGGTGAAGGAGGGAATATTTTGGGATGCTGATAAAGTATGGGTAAATAAATAAGCCTTCTCACATTGAAAATAATAATGGGTGAAACATAAGCGAATGTCTTTTTCTCTGTTTGTGAGCAAGAGCATGGGTGTCAGGACTCTGATTTCTTTCTGCATGATGGTGCTTGACTGCTGGTCGGGTGCTGCAGTGGTGTTTTTAAGAGTCAGGACAAGACAGATCTGTGCTTGCCATTGCTGAAAGCCAAATTATAGGCAATAGGAACAAATGAGCACTTCTTAGAAGATGAGTATGAATCTGGGCATTATTCAGAGATGTGGTGTCTTACTCCTTTGAGTTATTCAAAAAACACTTGGAAAAGGTCTTTGGCAAGTAGCTTAAGGTTTCTCTGCTTGAGTGAGGGAGTTGGACAAGATGACCTTCACAAGTACCTTCCTACCTCAACTGTTCTAGGAACCTGTTACCCTTTGCTATTTTTCCAGTAATAAAGTTTTGAGGAAATCTCTATCCTTTACAGTGTCTCTGATAAAGCTACTGAGAAAGATACCATGTAATTGGAATCAACTATTTTAACATGTAATCAGAAACTGTTCTGAAGAAGAAAAGCAGGCTGCACCATCAAGGTAAAAGTGATAGCTGTTTTCAGCTTCAGAACAAGCAAGTGAACATTAAGGCTACCTTTTAATGTCTGTATAGGTAGTGGAACCGCAGCTACAAGTGGGACGTATAAAAGCTATTTGTTAAGGAAAGTGCTGTGTTTTTTGATTGCATCATTATATTACATAGAAAAAGACAGCTCTTTCATGATGGTAGGACTTTGAGAATAAAGTGGCTATCTGCAGAATATCAGGTGAGTCTTAAAAACAAAACTAAATTGCTGAAAAGAAGTTATTTAACTTTTTAAGTTTATCTTTTTTTTTTCTTGAAACAGTTGAAGCTCTGCATTTGGGAACTCTGATGGCAGCACATGGCTATTTCTTTCCAATCTCAGACCATGTTCTAACACTGAAGGATGATGGCACCTTTTATCGATTCCAGGTACATATTTTCAATATGTTCTTGACTTGCACAAACGGAGTTTCAAAGACCTTACAGAAAAGTTCATAGCAAATTTAATCATACTTTGTTTCTCACATAACCTGGTAAAGAGTAGGAATTGCGCTAAAAATATTAAATGGTAGAATGATTTTATTTATAAATTTTAAGGGAAGTGTTTAGATGGTAATGACTATTTTGATATCTGGAATAAAAGTGTGATAATGCTGACTGTGGAACTGTCTCTCATGAAATAAATTAATGTACTCTTTTTGAAACATAGTAGACTAAATTATGTTATTGCCTCTTATTCCTAGTAGTCTGAATTTGGAAACGGGGAGATATTTTAAATATTAAGTTTACAGCAGAAATCTGATAAATAATGGAGGGTAATATTTATTTTTCTTCTTTTGTGAGAATTTCCTTACCGGTAACTCAGTAGTATCCGAGTAGTGTGTATTCTTCTAGCAAGTACAGAGGCATTTTTACATTGATCTGTCAGTCCCATTGCAAGCTGGAAGCATAAATATGTACATATATCTACATCTACTCTTGCATATATATTATTCAGAAACCAACATAGTTTTTTAATTTAATTTTCATTATATTAATTTTCAAACTAAGGCCCTGAGAGCAGAAGTGTTTTTCTAATAATGACTAGTTGGCTAGAATTTTGCAGAACAATATTGCTAATGACTTGAAACAAATATGTCTGCAAAATACCAGATTATGAATTCAGTGGAAAGAATTCACTTTGCTTGTCATGTGCCACTTTTGAAAATGGTGGCTGTATTCTGTACTGCTCTTTCTATTAGGTGGTATTCCTGGTAAGTATCACCAACAGCTGCTCCAAGCTCTTTTTTTGGTATTTATTGCTTTGAAATGGTATGACAACTATGACTATGAAACTGCGTTTGTTAATTCTTCTCTGTTGCTTCTAACTGTATTAAATACTCAGCAAACTAACATCTGGTAGAACAAAATATGTTGTCTTCAAAATATATAGATCTAAACTTCATCTAAAAGATTGTTTAAATAAGAAGCCATCAAGAATAAAATAATGCTGAAATTGTGATCTTTCAAATGCAGAATAAAAGTATAGATTGGAGACCAGTCATAGTTTCAAACATTGTATTATATTTATCTCTGTACAATACTTCCATCAATATCTTGGCTTAAGTCCTACAGACCCATGTAAGGGAAGAGAAAGACTTGTAATATTTGTATAAATCAAAATCTTAGCATGAACATAGTTAAATATGCACAGCATAGTCTGGCAAGGAAGAGAATTATTATTGCATACATGCAAACAATATTATCCTGTTTTCATATTTAGATCTTGTGAGTCAGACTGCAAAAAAGTTATTCTTCAGCAGAACAGAAAGTTAGATGTGTACATGGGTAATACTAAGAGCAAGCATTCCAAGCCACCTATCCTAGATCCACAGTTACCTTTGATCCTGGAGAGAGTATTTGAAAGAAAAGGGGTTTTTTAAGTTCATGAGGCTTCATTCTCCTCAGAGCTCAGTGTAAAGAAGAGAGATGACACATGATTGAAGGGGATGTGCGTATGAGGTAAGTGGAAAGGAATCATGGAGTGGTTGAGGCTCCAGTTCTTGGCTTGGTATCTGAATAAGCAGTGTCCAGAAGGACAAAATATACAAGGGCTTAATGTTGTAGAGAACGGTACTTAATTACAGCAGTGCTAGCTATTGAATTCTGCACAGCTGCTGGCCTGCCTCCATCTCTAGCACAAGAAATAAACACCTGTGCTGGCATGATAGTCTGACTGAAGGAAAGTACAGACTAGAATTAGCTTCATCGTGGACCACTGGGAGTACTGCAGCTACTCCACTGTGAGCTCTCCTCAGAGAGGTCCATAGCCTATTCGTTTGGACACAAAGCTTCAGTGAGGGCTAGACTGTAAAATCTTCTCAGTTTATTTACATAAGTTAAGGGTTTGACACCTATTTGACAAATGCATATGAAATAAGAAGCTTTAATCAAGTGTTGCTCAGTACTTTAATCTGCAGTGTTTGGCTTGATTGCTTTTCTGTGGTACCTTTTCCATTGCTATTCCTATGCCAACGATGTGACTTTGCTGTTGTGACAGTGGAACTTAAGCTGCTAATGTATAGGATGAGAAAAAATTCATAGTTGTGACATACTGTTAACTGGAGTTATAACAGCAAAATTTTTGTGGTAACATCTCCACGTTCCCCACCAAAATAAGGCTAGTATAAAATCTGTTACTGAACTGTTAAATTAGAAGATGAAGAGAACATATTCAAGGGGGAGGAAAGTTTGACTGAAAATGTGTGAATTTTGCACTAGAATAGACATTCAGGTTCTTTGCAAATAGTACCCTCTTAGTACTGGACAGGATTCACAAATTTGTGGTTATTTTGATGACAGGAGAAAACCATGCACCTGCCAGCACTGAAAAGTTCAGAAGCCACGCCTGCAGCGAAGTCTTTGCAATACAAAGACCTAACCTACAAAAAACAGACTAGCTATAGTAATGTTCTCCATGTGCTTAGTGTTTTGCTTTCCAAAGGGTGACACATTCCCTCCTGACAGTAAAATTATCTCTAGCTTGTTTTAAACCACCTTCTGTTGTATAGAAATAGCTAAAAGCAGTGGAGATTGTGCTTCATCTGGACAAATGCCCTTTTATGGGCAAAAATTATACTTTTTCAGTTATTATTCTTGCAATCAGGAGGCAAGAGTATAGTTACATCAGCTTTTTTAAATAATGTGGAATAAAAAAATAATCTGGATCGTTCAGTGACCTACTCAGGTGTTAATTAGTTTAGTTCCTGTGATATCAATTTAATTCAAAGGAGATGAATCTAAATATTAATTGCCTTATTAAGAGAGGAATTTTTTTATTAGTCTCAATAAGAAAAAGCAGAAACAGCTGCGTTGCCTTTTCCTGGTAATTTAAACCTGTGACCAAAAAAGGAGCTGAATATTTACTCACCTCTTCCTCTCCCTGAGAGCAAATAAATATCAGAGGCCCAAATAAGAAAAGCAAGCTGCATCTTAGAAAGCATATCTTCCCTGGACCAGAGATTACTCATGGGGATGTTTCAATTATGTCCACACAAACGATAATATATCCAGCTTGGTGAGGAATGCCTGACTTGCCCTCTCAGCTAGTAAGCTTCTGTAATATGATCCTGCAGAAAAGTATGCTCATTTCCTCTACAAGTTTCCCAGATTTCCCAGTATCTTTTGGCTGTAAACAAACTCCTAGTATACCTGAGACTAGTGATAGTCACATTCCCATTTTTAAATGAAATTAATTCATGATTTAACACAAATTAATTTTCTGAGATGAGAGTTAGGTCTTGCTGTTGTTTTGTAACTTTTAAGATGAAAGGCACAAATATCTGAGAAAAAGTGTGAAAACAGAAACAGTTTCTTGTGAAAGCATGAGTCTGGTGAAAATAGCAGCTAAATTCATGTACCTTGGAAAGATGAAGGTGTGGACTTTGATGTCTTCTGTTCTGCAACTGGGAACACTTTCTTGACAAATGCATTTAACCTCTCTGGTGCTCTTTTGCCTAAATTGGGGATAAAATTATATAGCAATCACAGTATGGATCTTGAAATATCTATGTTGCAAAGTAGTTTTGAGTGTGAAGTGTTGTGGACACCTCGTGTCTCAGGTGGAATTACTTGGCTTTACACATCTCTTTGAGTCAGCCTTACTGAGCCAGCTTCTCCTTGGCTCATTCTGGACCGACCTCTGGCTGTTCTGAAGGCTGAGTCTGTAGCTGAATATCAGAGCTCTTCAGCTGCTCTCCAGAGCCTTTCTGGATCATCTACTGTGCCTTGAGGGAAGGATCTTAGTTGAAGCCAGGTTTTAGCAATTAAAAAGAAGCAACTTATATTATGCAGCATTTGGCAGATTTTCTTTGTCAGTTGCAGGTGTGATAACTAATTCATTGTCTTTTCAGCTCAGGCTTGGCATATGCAGGCTCCATTAAGGTTTCTGAGGGAAAAAGATTTTAAATCCACGTGTCTTTCTGACTGCCCTATCAGTGCCACTTTTGATTTTTTTAGCTCCTTACTCAGACACACATTTCTCCACACTGTTTTCCATGCTCATCCTCTTTTCAGTTAGAAAAAACGAGTCACAAAGCCAAAATCTTGTTTCCAAATTCCTCAACCTATTTTTAATTATTCTGATCATGGAGAACTACTTGCTTCCTGTATGGGCTTGACAGTACTAGACTAGCAATCTTACCTTTTTACTTTACCAAGAAATCATTTTTGTCAAACGAATGTAAAACACAATGACAGTGAAATCTGCTGTCCATCATGCAAAGCAATTGAGATTTTGCATAACTACTTTTTAGCAAAGGCTTGAATTCTGCTGTTTATAAAGACTCCCTGGTGCCTGAGAGAAGAATAGCAGAAATATGCAAAGGTTTATAGTGATATGAATACTCCTCTCCCATCCAAGTAATTGGATTTTAAAAAATTTTGTGGAGTGGAACGAAGCAGCTTCAGAGACAACAACTCTTTTCTTACTACTATCAACAAGAGGTAGCTGAAAGATGCTTAGTGATTTCCCCTCCTTGGTCATACAGTTTTATTCATAGAAATTAATCATATTTTGTAAAAGTTGATGGGCAACACCGATTTTTACAAGTGGCTGTTCCATTAGCTCATATATTATTATTGATTAATTTTGAGGTAAAACCAAAGCAGATCTATTTACTTTATCACTAGATACCTTACAATGCATAGCACTCACTGCTGCTGGTTTATTTATTGAGGAATATGTGCTATATTACAGGATTTTGTTTTAGATGACTTTATTACAGGAGGATTATGGATTTATGTGGTTAGGTTTAATGATATTAATGTATAACACAAGAGAGCCAGTATGTGTTTGTGTGTGCAAAACCAGTTTTCTGGTTAAAGGGCATAAAGGTCTTGTAACTGTTTTGTTCTGGAGGCTTAAACGTACCTGCAATCACATCTGCAGTGCTAGGTAAGCCTCATTTCTCGAGTTCCTGACTTGTTCTGGCTGCCGATTCAAATTAAACCTACAATTAAACAAAGTGCCTCAAAAGCATACTGATAAAAACTGGCAGCATTATTTCTGCCTGGGCTGATAAACAGTCCTTGACTTTCCCATAACCACTCTACCACCCACCTTCCTTCAGCTGTAAGTGGGATGTCATGGCAAAATGACAAATGTTCCCTCTTTAATACTTCTTCATGATGAACTGCTTCACATTTCCTTCTGGGGAAAAGTAAAATTCTTAAGTATGATAATTCCTTTAGGTTTTTTACAGTCATGAAAGATAACCAAACCACATCAGTATTTCATAATCTTCTCTTTGAAAATGGTGGTGGTGTGGTACATGTCATACCACATCCATAGCTCTCCTGGGTGAAACCTTCATTTAGGAGCTTCTAGATCATGAATCCAGGCACACAGATGGTATAATTTTTGTATATCGAAATATATATAGGAATTAATATATTGCAAGGAATACTATAATTCTTCCACAGTGTATTTGGACATGTAATTTGTAACAAATAGTTGAACCAAGCTTTGTTTGCATAGTCCAGCTATTGAAAAGGTAATTTATGTGAGCAGAGCCTCTCTGCATTGCTGTGGGATATTTTTAATAGATCAGATGAGAGCAGGCAGCTTTCCCCTTTGCACACACCTCCTTTTCTCATTCCTGGCCTCATTCCATGAGACCAGGGATCTTCTTATCAGACTCTTCTTATTTCCTAATCCTTCTGTGTGGAACAAGGCAAATCTTTCTCCTGTAGTCTTCATGGATAACCTCTCTAGCAGATTCTTCTCAGAGACTGTTAAACATCTGGAGCGTGAAATTGTGTGGAGACTTTTGAAACAGAAATGGAAATGTAAAATCAGCACATGTATTATAGTCACATGTTATGTGATTAAACTGTTTGATGTCTGTAATAAGGAACAAAGTAAGCTTCAGATTGAGACCAGAATTTTATGACTGTTAAAACCAAGCAATTAGACAAGAAAATGTGGAATATTCCTTTGGAAAAACATCGGTCATTTTAACTACATAGATGTTTATTGTTGGTGCTTTTTGTCCATACAATCACAGCATTGCAAAAGTCCATTAGTCAGAAACTGATTTCTATATCAGGTTTATTTTCAAAGATTTTTTTCTCAAAGGTTTTTTTTACCTTGGTATTTTGGACTTTTTTTCTGTTTAAATCTTAATCTGTCCTTTATCCCTATTTTTTGCCTGTTTTTAGGAGAATTTCCCTTATCTCTGCACACAACAATGCTATTTCCTGCTTTGAAAGTGAATAATAGATATCTACTCTTTGAATACAACTTTATCAGCAGCTGCATGTAGCTGCCTTTGATTACATATCTTAGGGTGATACCATAAGTCTTCACTCGCTGCTAAGAAAGTAGGACTTTGCCTTGGTCAAAATACATAGCATCTAATGTTTATTTCTCCTCTAGTAGGGGTTTTACACTGTCAGTGACCTAATGTGTTTTTGAAAAATCCAAATATTAGTAACCTTTAGCTCTCAAAGATTGGAAACATACAGTGTATTGCAGCTGTTCAATCTAGAGAGTAGATGTAGAAACATTATAAAAGAGAAAATTTAAGCTTTTTACCTTTTCTGGAAATACATTTCTTCCCTTTGCTGTTATCTTTTGAAGCTCCTCTACTTTTTTTTTTTAAAATAACTGTCCATGTTTCAAAGGTTACTGGAATGATTTTTTTTTTTTTTATGTATAAATTACCCTTCAGGTAACTTGCATCCCTTTAAACATCATGCAGATAATTTAGTACTTCTGATAATGCTTACTAGTTAGATAGTCATTGTTACAGAGTACTGGAGATAGAGGGAGAAAGAAATACCAGAGAAAGAATTTCATCATAGTATTTACACATGCATATAAATCAGAGTCCTGAGGAACCAGGAGTCATTCTTTAGCTTGGAGAGGCTTTTTAGCTTTTTTGGAAATAAACACAATTTACCCATGTGAAAACACAAGAAATCCTTAAGCTTTCTGTGCTGAATTTCGTCAGCTTGCTAACCTGAACTGTCTGACCTCATAAAAACATCTCCCTTCTTGAATTTTTTTTTTTGCCCTGTGCTTTGCCCTGTAGCCTTATCTCCGTGTCCAAATTAATTTTGGGCATGTTGGCAGAGCTGATTGCAGGCAGAATTGAACTTTGTTCCCTCTGGGAGCCAGCTGGCTGGAGGCCAGCTCTGGCCACGCTGCAGTGCCTGAGCGGATGAGCTGCGCTTCTCAGTGAGTCCCATTAAACGCATCCGAGCGCCAGGCAGGCAGGGTCACGGCCCACAGTTCAGAGGCAGCTTGTGCCTGCCCAGCTCAGAGCATCGGCAAGGAAACCTCACACCTCTGTGACACTCCCTGGGCAGAAAGACCTTTATCTGCCCACTGTCTCCCTCCTTCTGCAGACTCAAACAAGGGAGGCATTTAATAATCTTCTGTACTTCTCTGTACTAGCTGTTATTTGAACCCCTTTCTCATATTGTAATGGTTGCCTTTTACTGGGGTTTCTTTTTGGTTTACCTTATCACACATAGTTGAAACCTTTTAATATGGCTCATCATGTGCTTTGCTAATTAAAACTCATGTTCTGTTTTAACTTTTCTGCTTTTATCTCCCTGGCGCAGGGAGGCTTACACTCATCCTTAGTAGGCAGTGAATTATTATCTGCTTTTTTCCTCAATCTCTTCTCCACATTTAGGTTGCACCTTTTTATCCTTCAGAAAAGCCTTGGTCATCTCTGCCTCCTAGCAGGCTAAAGTGACAACGTTTCACAACACTGAAGATCCTGTCCCTTTTCCCATATTGTGTGTAGTGCCCACGCTGCCTTCACCACCAAAATGCAAGCTTCAGTAGAAGTTAAATATGTTATTTCAACTAAATACTGAAAACAGTACTCTGGCCACACACAGCTTTTCATTTATGTATGAAACGACAGAGTCCTCCTCTAACATCACTAACATAGTTGTGAATATACAGTATTTGTTCATAGCCTGTTGTGAAATGAGTGCTGAAAGCAAGGTTTGTGATTTTTCTCTAAATCAGATGTTCATAGCCTGTTGTGAAATGAGTGCTGAAAGCAAGGTTTGTGATTTTTCTCTAAATCAGAAGATTAAATTTGTTTTTAATCTCATCTGGGATTGGAGAATCTGCAGTTTGTCAAGAGAAATCCTAAGTGTGCACAAGGAGCTTTAATATGGACTTTGCGGCAAGTGTGCCCGCGACTGGAAGAGTTTCAGCTGGAGTGCTGCCTGAGCAGATATGGTTTCTATGTATTTAGTAACCCTCACTGCATACCTTTTTCAGAAGCTCAGCTTGAACCTGTAAACAGAGGTTAACCTTCCTTTTAGCAGAGAAATGATGTAGCTGTGCTTTTCTTCTTGAGCCTCTCTGGACATACATTTTGTGCCTCTAAAGAAGGACTGTTCTCGCTTCTTGAGTTTGTGAGCTGTATATTTCAATGACAGTGACTTTTTGCTTTATATGGATCGCACTATAAAGTTTAATAGTTGCTTCTCCAAAATGTGCTGAGTACTGCATTCATTCTTTAGGGGTTAATTCCTGTGAAGGAATCGTTGATTGGAGAACTACTTATTGTTGCTGCCTTAAAAAGTAAAAAAGAGCTTGCAAGAAACACATCTTAGCCTTTGAAGGTAGCTTGTGATAGTTCCTTTTTTTATCCTTTAGCTCCTTGCTGTTGCTTGATAAATAGCAAGCAAGAAGCAAGAAAATTGCTTCTATTAAATTTGATGTGTCAATGTTACAATACCGAGAGATTTTTCACAATATATATTTAGTTTGACAATTGGTGTGAATGTGTCACCCTTCAGCCCTGCTGGATTCCAGATTAATATTAAAACAATTTTGAAGTGGGCAGCAAAGAGGTTTCCATTTTTGCAGCTGGGAGATTTTTGCAAAAAAACCCCAAGAAATAGAGAGTAGAGCATAAGGTTTTCCTGAAGAATCACCTGTGTTTTGAAATACCACTCAAACCACTTCACACATTTAATGAGTTTCATTCAACTGCTCAAATATTATATAATTCTCTGTATCTTTGTGTATGTGTTTATATATGGATCAGTCACTCAATCACAGAATATTCTGAGTTGGAAGGAACTCACAGGGATTATCGAGTCCAGCTCTTGAGTGAACGGCCTGTATGACGATTATATGCTCTGTAAAAAAACTATAATAATATCAATTTTAATCAAAAGTTGCTATTTTAAAAATGAAGTAATTAGCATGTAATTTTGTAAAAATGAATGTAAGAATGAAAAACATTCTCCATTTGCTAGAAGTGAATTATTTTAACAATACATGTAGCACAGTCTTAATAAGAATAGTGCTGAAGTAGGCTTTGGTACTTTATTGTCTTTCCCTTAAAAAAAAAATCTTGTTTTAAATCACAACCAGTAGACAATCATTAAAAAGTAGACTTTGATGTCTTTGTGAAAACAGGATGTTTTTAGTGGCATTTTTAAACAAATAACACCTAGGAAAGATAATTGAATATTAACTTGTGAATGAAAACTCTCCAAAATCAAGAACTGAATGAACTTCAAAGCATCTTCTGTCTGTATAACTCTAAACCCGATTCTCCAGGACATGTGAGAGATGTATTTCTAGGGAAGATGTAAACAGATATATTTATTTGTACATAAATGGATGTATACATGTAATTTTCTGTTTTGATGCCTATTTCAAAAATGTCAAGTTAACAGTATAATAGATCTACAAAAAATATAAATTTATTCTGAAAACCAGTAACAATCCAAGGACTGTATAATGCTTGCATTGTCTAACTTGAGTTTCCTACTTCTTTGTTTTCTCTATAGACACCCTATTTTTGGCCATCAAATTGTTGGGAGCCGGAAAACACAGACTATGGTCAGTGTAGAAATATTATCTATTTCTTTTGGAAATTATGCATTATATTAATGAATGCATCATTGTGATGTCTTGTTTCATCATCCCGCTGTTTAAAACATAATCACATGCCATGTAATTCCTGTGCAAGAGCTGCTGATATTGAAATTAATGTGTTGCTACCTTTTTCAAAGTTTCTGAGAAGCTTATCAAAGTTTTATTTTGGAGTGTAACTGAGGAAAAAAGAAAAAAAAAAACAAAAACAAGTCCCAAAATTCAAGACTCATCAAAACCTACCTTGCCATTTATATCCTCTGTTTGCTCCAGCAAGTGTAATTATTTACAGTGAGAGAATCTCGGTGAAGCAGAGGAGACTTTATTGATGGTTGTGCAGTGGTTATTATCAGATTGAGACCCAAAGATGTACCTAGTTTAGAACTCTTATTTCTAATATACACATGTGGAAAATTACTTAGCATGAAAACTATGTAGTTTTAGTATGAACTGTATTAGAAAATACAGTTTATTGTTTATTTGCCTGTGTCTTGGGTGTTTATAAATAAATTACACATTGTAATTACTGAGGTGTGCTTGGACAGCAAAATCTGAAGATAATAGGTAGCAATGTATTAGGAAAAAATATTATTAAAAATGGCAACAAAATTAGGTTCCTCTGTACATCGAATAGTGACCTAATTTTTAAAGAAAGTGGATCTGTAAGCAGCCTCCTGTTCATTCTAATCCAAACTGTAAGTACTGAAGACCAGGTCACTTATTTAGATAACTGGGCATGTACATCATAGGTTATGTTTTTAAAACTTCAGGCCACGAATATATCTTTTTACAGCTTTTCAGAAATTTAGGTGAGTGTTCACTTGTAATTTGGATTCTATGCCCTTGGGAGCTGAAGGCTTTGGGGATGGATGCTTCCAGTAAATGCTTCTTTCCTTTTTGGAGCAGACACAGTTTAATTTCAAATACATTGCCAAATAAAGTATTTTTAAGTTGAGACTCTCAGCAGACCTGAGTGTCTGCAAGGTATAGTTTGAAAATGTGACATTTTCCTCATCCTATAGGAGTATTAAAATGTTCAGTTTTTTACTGATATTTGAAGATGTCCAGTAAATAAATATTGAAAGTTCCCAAGGAGGAGGGATTCTTACCACAAGTGTGTGCTTAGCCATTCCACATGAGGAATTTGGTCACTGAAGGAAAAATTGTTGATTTACCATTTATTACTTCATTACAGTCCCCTAATACGTTAAAGATCAGCAAGTAATTAACTATGGCTTAAGAGACATTGAGTTGTTCAGCTGTAATGTGTATCACATTACTGGGGTGGTTTTAATAAATGAATTAACATATGTGAATTTGAGATCAGGCTGAGAAAGTTTCTATTAATATCCTTTAGTCTAAAGTAGGAGATACTAACTTTCCTGTCACATCGCTGTGACAGGATCGCTGGATTGGTCAATGAATTATAAACCTTAGTCAGTAAATAGAAATCTTGTATAATGTGTCCAGGTTTGCGTGCCAGGAATACAGAATTAAACTTGGAATCAGTGTCTTCATCATGCAGGGAGGTGCTTTTGTTGAACAGTAAATGTACTCATTTGAGAGCTTTTGAGATTTACATATGTTTCAGTTGCTGAGTTAAGCTCTTTGGTCACAGAGGAGAGAAAGAAAGGGAGCAAACCCTCCAATCCTGCTATTTCACGGCTCCTTCCATGTCATGAGCCGAAAGTGCAATCCTGTATGAAACAGACCCACAGCTTCCCCATTCAACAGGGCCAGAGCATTGTACAGGAGCTACCAAAGGGGACTATGTGTCACCAGAACTGGATAATGCTAGAGCATTTGCAGGAAAATAAACTTCTAAGGCATCTTTTCAATATTGTTCTTATTAGGTTAGCATCATCCGAGTCCCAGAAATTAGCATTTCCCTTGTAAACAGTGGTGATCAGAGGAACACAGGGAAATCAAAATATCTAATCAAAATATTTAAGGAACCAAAATAAATCTAAAGTAGGTTTGAAACATTTTGAGAATATTAAAGCATAAATATCACCTCAGGTATACACCAAATAGGTTCTACAGGCTTTCATGGTAATTGTCCTGAAAAATATAGTACACAGAATATATGTTTTTACAAATATACAAATGCATTTCATTCTTATCATGCTTTATGGTGCTGTGTAGTGCTACCAATTTCATGAACTTGTCCTGAACAAGCTTGAAACTGTGCCCTCTAAAATTAATGACTGTGGCAGGCATTAGAAATCTCTCAAGACCAGCAAAAAGTAAACTCTGTAATCTTCCATGATCAAAGTTACTAACAAGGCAAATCACTTTCTTTGCCATTAACCTAATTTTACAAGGCATTGGAAATACTCTAGGATTTTATTTTAATTTAAAAATTAATCCTAACCATTCATCTTTACTCATCCATAACTGGGCTACTATCCAGAATGTAGCACACTGCCAGGAAAATAATTTATCTTAGAGAAGAAATTAAATGAGATTGAGATACTGTGTCTTAGTTTATTACCAAACTAAGAAACAAATAATCCTTACATATTTGTACAACATGTTAATATCTTCTCTAAATATAATTTGATCTATATGAGCTTGTAATAGCAAATAATTGCCTTAAAAAAATATTCTTCTGTAGAAAGTATAACTGAAAAAGACATACAAACAGAATCTTCCAATATGTCAAAAAACCCCAGACACATTCTCATAATAAAGTTGTAGTGCACAGCTATGTCATGGTGGCAGAAACAGGACTTGGATTAATTTAATTTTTGTCAGAATGAAAAATAGCGTTTTGATTGTAATTTACAAAATACTGGCTTTGATCATTCTGAGGTTACTGAGAAACTGCTAATTTTCATAAAGAGCTGAAAATCTCCTTTTTCTTAAAAATCATGTTTTAAGTGTTGTCACGAGAGATTCTTCAAATTGCAAATATTTTTTACAAAGGCAGGTCCTTAAGTCCCATCTGTTGAAGTCCCATTTTAGTGCCATATGTCTTGGACTCCACCCAGCCAGGACATGTTGTTCTTTGTAGAATCCCATTGGTTTTAGTGTGATTATGTTAGTGAAAATAAGTAATAATAATAACAAATATTATTAAGGCTGGTGTAGTTCAAATAACTTTGCTTTTTCCTGTGAGTTAAGTCATGTTTCTGAATTATGAGTAGGTTTTGTGACAAATAGAATTGGATCTCAGTTCAGAAAAACTGGCTCTTGAAATGAGCACAGCTAGTGGCTGAGCATGTGACCTGCTTGTAGTTACCTTCTCTTTTCCTACAGATATAATTTTGTAACTGATGGATTTAGTTTTTTCCTGCCATATAATAAACAGGTCATGTCATTAAGAATTAGTTAAATAGGGAGGCTAATTAAGACAATTGCATCCCAGAAAGGGGAAATATAATGCTACCTATCAAATCATTATTCCATGTGCATTTGGTCACAGTTCTAATGGAACCTGTCAGGTTCTCTTGGAGGTTTAGTGACTCACAGCTGTTGCAAATTCAAGGCATTTAGTCTATCACTCCTCTTTTCTGAATAAGTAAAAAATGTGAAATTTTAGGGAAAAAAATCAATTCACAACGAAATAGCAATTATTTGCTGTGCCAGTCACAGTCTTTAGGAGGTTTGGACAAATTAGAAGACAAAAAGTCAACTGCATCTATATAGTTGCAACAGGGTGTTGTTTGAGCATTGTATTTTTTTGTGTGTGTGCCTTTCTCTCAAATGAGTTAAAAATGGAGGACTGCAGAATGTTGGTAAGTTATAGAGAACACAGTAAATAACTGATAATGCAACATGAGTTAAAGAGCACTTGACCATGTGATCTTCAAATTATACTAAATGAGACTAGTTTTCTCTGTATTCAAAGTAAATTCTTAAATTCTGTTGCTGTGAAGGACAAGTTTTGAAAATACAACATACTTTCAGTAGCCTTCCAGGTAAAGTAATGTATTAAAAAGGCAGTCTCCTGGGAAATTAGAGCAATCTTGGGGGTTGGGGTAACTCAATTAATTACTCCCTTTAAAAATGTAAGATACTTGTCTGGATAAATGCTGCAGTTCTTTAGATAGTCATCATTTCCTTATCTATCCTGCATTACAGTAAGATGAGCTAGCCATTTACTTCTGCTGTGTCAAAGCTGTTTCATTGTTGTTCCCCAGCATTTTTAAGAAAGTACAAGTCTTTCCTTATTAAATTTACTTGTTAATCAGCTAACAAGTCAGTCTGAACAACGTCTCCTTCCTAATGATACTTTCTTATTGCTTAAAAGTAAATTGAGAGGCCTCTCTATGTTCTGTCCCTGCTGCTCTGTTCTGAACATGAACCATTTCCCCTGGCTCATTTCCCTCTTCTCTCTCAAACCCATTGTAATACTAAGCACACAGTGCACAGAAAGTAACTGCAGTCATATATTATATTTTTCACACATTGAAAATTTTCCTATGATTTTCTCTTTAGAGTCTCTTGCCTACTTATTTTACATGCTTAGCTTCAAATTCCTCTATGAAAATTTGAGTAGTCCAGGAATTTTCTCTCTCATTTGTCTTTCTGTACCCTTTACCATGGAGTGACTGCTTGGAAGGAGAACTGTGTGGAGAATGCATTATATATTTTCTTTGCCCAAATGCACAGGAAGGATTTCCTTGGCAACAGTTTATTAGCAAGCAATTTGTATTTGAGAAATACTGACCCCTATTGCTTACCTGAACTCTGCTGGAACACTGCATGTTCTCAGCATCTCTGGAAATCAATCCATATCTATGAGTCAATAGCTTGGGGCAAAACTGGTAGCAGAGAAGCATTTTTGATAAAAATCGCTATATATATATATATATATATATATATATATATATATATATAATATTTGTTAAAATTCATGCCATGAGAATTTACAAAGAATGTGTGAATAGTTTCTGGAGAGCTTTGCCATTCTATAATCTCAAATCTTGATTCTCGGTTCCCATTTTTTCAATGGCTAATGT